AATGATTTATTTACAGATTCACCACATTTTCATATGGTCGAAATGGAACCATTACCAATATTTGAACGTTTGGAATCAATTTGTATTATTTGGTTTATCTTAGAATATGTCCTAAAGATGTTAGTTAGCTATGATCGGATGACAACATTTTTACGATTAATGAATATTATCGATTTATTGGCAATACTTCCATTTATCATTGAAATTGCACTTAGTTTATTTGGATTTAATACCAAAAATATACGCGATCTTAAGGTAATTAAATTTTATTATGAATAAAATTCCAGGTAATCAAATTTTATTATGAATAAAATTCCAGGTAATTAAATTTTATTATAAGTAAAATTTCATGAAGGAATATTTTTACTTGTATGTAATTATAATGGTTATATAATGGTGTCATTTTTTTTTTTGGATCATTTCTTAATGTTAGAAAATGGATGAGGTTAAAATATAATGAAAATATAGTAGGAGAGAAAAAAAAAAAAAAAAGGAAGGTGACAATGAAGTAATACTAACATTCGTCTTATGTCGCATACTGTATCGCATATTTTTTAATTCAACTTCAATTTTGAAATTCCAAAACTGAAATAAGGTCGACATGTCTATTTTTATCATTATCACTATCATTACTATTGTTACAATTAAATAAGATTAACATCTTTCCCTTCGTCATTATCATTATCATCACTATTGTTACAATTATTATCATCAACTATTACTGATAACACATATATTTGAAATCATCTGCAATATATATTTTCTCTCTTTTCTTTTTTTTCGACAATAATTTATGTACATATATACATTAAACTATTCCTATCCGAAAATATTTTCATAAAATTTGTTTGTTAAGATTTAACTAACTGATCAAATGATTAAGTAATTGTTAAACGAGTTACTTTACAGTTTGCCTTCTTAGTAATTCGTGTTTTACGTGTTTTACGAGTTATTCGTATACTAAAACTTGGCCGATACAGTACTGGTTTACAGATGTTTGGACGTACGCTAAAAGTAAGGAATCTATCATTTTCAATATTTTAATTTTTATTTTTGTAGAAAGTCTAGAATTATATTTTATAAATATTATAAAAATACAATTAATACATGAGATTATTTGATCTTTTTTTTGGTTAAAAATCTTTAAAAATTAAAATATCTGTTAAATATTCTTTTTTTTTTTTTTTTTTAGGCCAGTTTCCGGCAACTTAGTATGATGGCGATGGTTGTTCTAACCGGTGTTATATTCTTTAGTACATTGGTATATTTTATTGAAAAGGATGTCGAAGGAAGTCAATTTTATTCCATACCAGCTGCTTGTTGGTGGTAAGCTTTTTTCCGGATTAATGTATCCTTTTATTTGCAATCATTTTTCCGCATTTGAATTCCGCATTCAAATTCCGCATTCGAATTTCACACTGAACAACAAAGCTTGCGTTATATTAGAAATGAATATAAGAAATGATTATTTTTTTCTTATTTTTTTTTTTACCTTTCTGTTCTTTTGTAATTTATTTGAAAAATTTCACATCTAATATAATCTCCAAATTTTTATCAAATAAACACAATTGTTATTAATCTATTCCTAATTTGAGAATGTAATTAATTAATCAATAATTAATCTTTAATTGTTCAACTCTAATTTACATCACTTTTGATTTGCTCATTCAGATTTCTTTTATCTTTTCTTTTGAAATTTGAAAAGAACTATTTATCATTATCATCCTAAGATTGATCAAACCAATCATCAAATAAGCAAACATCAATGAACGAGTAATTTTAACTGATTAAACTTTTACTTACTGTCAACATTGCTACCTATAAAAAATACGGTGAATGAGCAATTGATGCTTAAATTTTCCCCTTCTTACAATGATTTATTTCATTACTGAATTTTTTTTTTTTTTCGGTGTATCGTTACTATGACAACGGTCGGTAAGTTTTCTCTTCCTAATTTGTTTGCTGCATGAACTTGCATGCAGATGATGCACGCTATGCTTATGATTTTACTAAAAAAAAAAAAAAAAAAAAAACGAAAAGAAAATTTATAAAAGAGTGAAAAGGAATGAAACTTATTTAAAATAAGGCTAATTTAATTGATGCATAAGGTAAGGCTAATTTAAGGATTGTTTGTTTTAGTTTCAGGAATAGAATAAAATTCCGAAAATACCATTTCGAAATTTTCCGGATCAATCATGATCAAATTCCATAGAAAATATGGCATAACTATAAAATTATTGAGTTGTTTAAAATTAGCATAAAAATTAATTGTTAATTGATAAGAAGAATTGTTGATTATATTAAAATGCTAGAAATAAGCTATTCAAAATTAGTACAAAAATAAAGAAAACGAAAAAAAAAAATATCTACGATGAATTTGCTACAATCATATTTCCATACAATTCATCAAAAATGTAAAAAATAAAAAAAAAAAATTAGATTATTTGCATGTATAAAAATTTGAAAAATTTTTTATAAAAAATTATTCTTTATTTGATTATCATTTATTCCTTTAATATGTAAATTTTTTATTTCAGGATACGGTGATCTAACACCAACAACTGTCCGTAAGATTTCATCTGCTACAAATAAATCTAATTTTTTTTTTTTTTTNTTTTTTTTTCATTCTCCATATTTACAATTAACATTACTACCTTCTAATACTACTATTCATAACCAATCCAATTATATTTATTAATATTTCACGAATATTCTCATTTTAAAATTTTCAATGCTATATTGATAGAAATAGAAATTGAAGTTTTTTTTTTCTTTTTCCTTACCTATAACATAAGTTAAATAATTCGAGAATTTAAAAAGAAATAAAAAATAAAATTATTGAAAATATAAAATCGAAAAATTATTAAAAATATAAAATCGAAAAATTATTGAAAATATAAAATCGAAAAATTATTAAAAATATAAAGTCGAAAAATTATTGAAAATATAAAATCGATATAAGTTAAGATTGATAATTTTATTTCTTTTTTTCTTTTATGATTCATTTATCCTCATTATTTATCATATTTTATAAAAGCATCGATCATTTTCATTTTTCTCAGGAAGTTTATCTCGCGAAATGCTTTGTTTCTTTTTTCTTTCTTTTTTTTTTTTTTTTTTGTAAATTAGACAATTTTGAATTTTCTAAAACTTAAGTTTGAAAAAAAAAAAGCATAAATGGAAAAATGTTCAGTTGGAAAATTGGTGGCAACAGGTGCGATCTCATGTGGTGTTTTAGTTCTTGCCTTACCGATAACCATTATTGTAAGTTAGTTCATATTCTTTCCCTTATTCATACGAATCCTATTCATTCAGTATTTCCTAAAAAAAATTATCGTTTACTTCCGGTAGAAATAGTGATAAGAAGTGGAAGGATTTGATTTAACAATTATCACGCTTGACCTTTGACCTAAGCATAGCATTAAAATACTTTCATAAATTCTAGTGATAATATGAATTATTTCTTATTAGCTTGTAAATGCAATCATTTAGTTTTAAATATTACGGTTACGTTACGTTCGTGACCTTTCATTGTTGCATATGAATCGGTAATGGTATATAAGGTTTCAGTTGTCCATTTAGTACAAATTTCTCTTTAGGTTACTCACTTTCAGGTTGATAATTTTATGAAAGTGAATGAAGAGGAAGAAGAAGAAGGTTCACATCGATTAAGACGAATTGGACCAAGAAACAGTTTTACCATGTCTATTACTGGAATTTTCTAAATTTAATTTCAAATTAAATCATATTAATAGCTATGCATTTTTCAGCAAATATAAACCATCAGAAGAATTAATTTAAATAATTTCAGAGAAGTACCATTGGAAAGATTCGTGCAACAACAGCAAATGAAATTAAAAGGATTGATACGAAAAGAAAGTAATAGATATTTGGGAAGTAATAAACAACAAACATTTGTTCGTAATAATAATAATAATATTAATGATGATAGTAATGATAATGATAATGATAATAGTAATAATGATTGCATGAATCATCAGCTACTTGTAATGAATCAATAATGCAAAATGCTTCTTATTAATGGTATGTATTATTTTAAGAAAATTTGAATACGATAATTTATACTACATACAGAATTGCTTGATAATGAGATTAAAAGATTTTTGCATAATTAATTAATTATTTACGTTTAAAAATTGCATACCTTGATGTATACCTTAATAATGCGTAAATGATTGAATAGAAGAAGTGAACATAAGATAGCAGCATGTATTCGAAAACGATTAAAAAAGAGACAAATAAGTAATGGCAAATAAAATAGATGACATAGTAAATAGTAGATGACAAGTAATAAATAAGGAGCATAGCAAATGTATATCACTGTTTTTTTTTCTTATATCATTAATGATTTGAATTAAATTTCCTAAATTTCCGGAATACTTCAAAATGTCACATTCTTTGAATAGTTTGAATAGTTTTGAACAATTTTTGCTGGTTTACAATAGATCAAAGTTCATCAAATTGTAAAGATTAGAAGTGAGAAATGGAAAAATTTGAATGAAATAGTAGTACCAACAATGATTAATATTATTCATAAATTAAAATATGAAAAAAGTAATTTATCTTTATTAAAAAATTAATGAATAGGTAATTTGAATTGAATAGTATCTATCAAAGAGATAATGTTTCATAACAGAATAAATGCATATTTGAATTTAACACATACATCTATGAAATGACATAAATGCTGATCATTTGGTAATGAAATATATGATGTTCAGGCATTGTTCACTTAATTTAAAAAATTAATAAACTTTCACTCAATTCTTCTTCCTGTCTTACTGTAAGCAATCAACGATAATTATTTGAAAGATAAAAGAAAATAATAATAATAATTTGTTGCTATCAATATGTAAAATTATTGAATATCAGAAATCGTTTGCTTGAGTGGGTGGTAGATGATTGAAGATATCAACGAATAGAGCGCGTACTGGAAGTACGGTCTATTCCAGAAGTACAGTCTATTTCCGGAAGCACAGTCTACTTTTAGTCTATTCCGGAATCATGTTTACAATTGTTATAATGAACAAAGAATCCAGGTTTTTTTTTTTTAGATTCCATATCAAATTTATAGCAAGTTTTAATGCAAGCACAATACGACGACAATATTTTTGTCTATGACTTTTACAAGCGGACATGATGAATGATTGGAAAAAAAAAGAAACAATCTGAAAGTTATGAAGATTTTATTATTCTGTTACCATTAATTATTAAATTATACTAGCTTGAATTGCAAAGAATTCTAAATGTCTGAAGTTCTCTTGTCCACTTCTGTCACTTCCTAAGATCAGGCGCCAATCTTCAGGTATGGAAATATGTCGTTGTTAATTACAATAAAAGTTTATCGCTCTCTCTCTCTCTCTCTTTTCACTTGATTACTTTGGATAGTATCTTTTCAGAAGCCGGCAAAGCGGTAATGTCCATTATACACTATTTGCTGTTGCTTCATTCATAATGCAAAGACCGCCATCCAGTTATGCTAAGAACTGTCG